AACTTTAGGGTCTCACACCTCGCAGAGGCACCGCCAGATGGCGGGAATGATAAGGGGCGGGTGGGACGGTAAAGTCAAGCTTCCATCTGAGCCCTACTCCAAAGCTTCTGATTAGACAGAGCAACCAATGAGAGAGACTCGCTTACCCCATGCACCAGTGAAACAACATTTGGACACACATCCTTTCCACAACCTCCCAAAACGTTAGATAATGGACACTGTTTTGGATGCGATGGCTAAAGCCCTAAAACATGAAAAAAGGCGGTTCGTCCGCCAACTCCTGGGTAGATAAAATAACCTATAATCACACACACACACACATATTTGCATGCCTACATGTACATATAGACATAGATATACAGGAGATTTTCCAGTAGCCTCAAAACAAAAAAAAACCTACGTGAAGGGGAGATTCATGGCATCAACAAGGTGACTTCAGCGTGTAATACATGCATGGTCATACCTCGTCTTTCTTTTGCTCCCAATATGCATATATATATATATATATATGGTTTGGTCTGTAATGACTATAAAGCGTCACTTTACGATCTCCCCGGATGCTTCTTCTTCCATTGTGTCCATTCGTAGTTGTCCGTCATCTTGTAACCACTGTCAAAGATGAACGACTGTGCCTCTGGCGGTCCCCGTGTTCCTGCAGCATACGGCAGCGTCTTTACCTCCCCGCGGTCAATGGCTTTGAGTAACGGGGTGTAGATTCTCCATGCGGCGTCCAACTCATCTTTTCGGACAAAATTGGTGGAGTTCCCCATCAGGGCCTCGTGGATAAGGCTTTCATAGGCGTCGGGAATCGTCACATTGTAACGGGCCTCGTACGTGAGATCAAGCTCCGTCTGGTGGATGTCCTGCAGCAGACCTGGTGTCTTCGAAGTGAGCTTTACGTACATGGCCTCGGACGGCTGCGCCCGAATTACGAGCTCATTGCGCGTTGCGGCATCGCCAAATGGGCGTATTTCGTCTTTGAATTGGATACGAATGCCAAGAAACCTTTGCTCCAAAGCCTTTCCAGCCTTGATGATAAACGGCACATCGCTCCAGCGGTCATTGTTAATGCGCAGTCGGAGCACAGCGAAAGTAGGACAGTTACTGCCAGGCGGCACTTTTGGATCGTCGAGGTAGCCGGGCATCTTACCGTCCCCCGATGCTGTGTATTGTCCCAACACACAGTCGTTAGGAGTTATGGGTTCCACGTGTCGGAGAACCACAACCTTTTCGTCCCGAATGTCTTCAGCACTGAGCGAACGAGGCTTCTCCATTGTCAGAAGCGATAGAATCTGTGTGAGGTGGTTCTGGACGACATCGCGAATAATTCCCACTTTGTCGAAATAGCCACCACGCCCTTCTGTGCCAATCGTCTCCTTGAATGTAATCTGCACGCACGCAATGTTGTTGCTGTTCCAGAGTGCGCTGAACACACGATTGGCGAAGCGTGTCACAACAATGTTCTGCACCATTTCTTTTCCAAGGTAATGATCTATGCGAAAGATTTGAGACTCGTCAAAAAGTGGCTCCAATCTCTTTGAAAGCTGGGCAGAGCTCTCTGTATCACGACCAAACGGCTTCTCAACGATAACGCGGACCCAGCCCATATCTGGTTTCTGCATCGCACTCTTTCGGAGACCCACGCAGGCGTCCATAAAGACATTAGGAGGAAGTGCGAGGTAAAACAGACGATTTCCTCCCTTTTGTTGTCCCTTAAAACACTCCTCCAAGCGGCAAATGAAATCGTTCAAGCGAGCGAAATCCTCAGCACGGTCGTATAAACCAGAAACGTAGCTGACCCTCTTCAGGAAGGACTCAATGTGGCAACCAATTCCATTCGCACGCGAGAAATACTGTATCAATGATGTCTTCTTCCATGCTTCTGTATCCTCAATCTTGGAGCGGGCGTAGCCAACAATATTAATGTGCCGTGGAAGCAAACCGTTGCAGTACAACTGGAAAAGGGCCGGAAATGTCTTTTTTCTCGCCAAATCTCCACTCGCGCCAAGAATAACAATTGTAAGGGCGCGTTTTTTTAATTCTGGCGAAGCAGCATCAGGGATGACGTCACAGGATTCAGGATGTGACTCGGCGGAAAGCTTCTTGAGGTTTTCCATCAGATATTCCGTTACATTATCAGGCCTGTCATGCAGTGCTCGTTTGCGCAACTCATCGAAGATCACGTCCACCGAATGATGAAAAGTATCGTGGTCGGCTGGGGGATCCATTCTGTTTGCGCGCTCGCGTATCCACGGGACAAGACCAGCGTAACCTTTCTGTGTTTACGTCTTCTGTTGGCTGCCTTAGTACCTACTGGTTTAGGAACTGGCAAGAGAAACGGTTTTTTTTTTCTGTTCGAGGAAGAGTTCAGTATTATTCCTTCGATTGTTTTGCCGCACAAGGAGGGAAAGCAGAAGAGGATAGAAGGAAAAAAGATGTCAATTGGAAGCAACGCTGTCACATCATACGGCACTTTCCAGTTGTACACTTCACCCAATAACTTCTGTGAGTGGATGCTCGTGCTTACGAAACCGATCGCTCGTGGGTAGTCCAAAACGAAAATCTAAATCAGAACTTTTTTCCCCAGTTACACCACACGGTGCATTTCCTCTCCCCTATCCCCCTGTCGTTTTTTCTTGTTCGTTTTTTTCATTGCCACTTCATCAAAAAAATGAAGAGAGAAAGAGCAAATGAAAGAGACACAGGGACTGGTGGCCGAACCCCCAACGTTTGCCTTGGACCCTAAGTGGTGAATTTGTTCATTCACTTTTTACTTGATTAAAAATAAGAGCACTTGTATTTCAGTTTTGGCACTGTTTTCTCTTTCTCTTTCTCTTTTTACTGTTTCCTTCGATTTCTTGGCAAACAGAATGAACTGACCTAGACGACGCTCAACAGCGGTTCACCGCATTGGCAGATATGCAAAAGTTCATCATACAGAGAGAGCAAAGTGAAGTGCTTTTCTTTTACCAGCGTGAAAGAAGAGGTCTTTATGGTTTGCTTGGGTTCTTTGTTATCACGGCATATAGCAATAGATTTATCACCTTGTCTATATGCACACAAATATGTAGACAAATAAAAAGGCAGATACATATGGTAGTCACTTTATAGCATTCTTCTTTTTATGTCAACTGCGCCGGGACAGACTCGAGATCTTTTGTACCAAGCTCCAGCAATTTTTGGAAGGCTTTCGAAAAGCTGGCGCAAAACAAATCATTATCTTCAGAGTACCTCTTTGCAATGGCCCGATATTTATCATCGAGAAGGAGGGACATGTCTGCTGGTAGCATCATCAACTGCTTCGTCGCCCTGTCCATCAACTGCAAATTTTTCACATTGGGATTCACTACCCATTCATTGGCGAATAACTCCGTAAACAGTGAATTGTCAAAACCGTACTTATCGTGGGTCCAGGGTCCCACAAAACCGGTATTCTCTGGGTGACATTCACCGCAGGTATGAGCGCCAATCAGCGCCACTGTTTCCTCGTCGTTGAAGCCAAGACGTGTGAAGACCTCCCGCACGTGGTCCTGAGTCTTGGCGGCGTCAGGAAGGCGTCCGTCAGGACCACAGGCAGAGCCGTCCTTCGCGTCCACGCGACCCCAACGCCACGGCACCGCGGGACCACCCATTGCCTCGATGGACACCACTGCAGCGTATGACCACAGGTCGGCGTATGAGATACCCGGATATTTTTTTTTGAGTGGTTCCAATGTATTGCGTGCCTTGTCAAGACCTTTGTTACCGGCATAGTCACACTCCGGTTGGAAGCGCATAGAAGCAGAATTGGGACTCCCATCTTTCTTCCTCTTGTCCCAAGATCCAGCCTCGTGCCACGCAAGACGCACAAAAAGAGGTCCTTTCGACATGTCGTTGGAAATAATATCTTCAATGTCGTTCCTGAGTGCCTTGATGTCGAACGGCGGCTTAACTGTACCTTTCTGCTGTGTAAGCGAATAACATGACACAGCGGTGGCACTGCCCAGAAATGCTGCCGCCGTTGCACCGCCGACGACGCCCGTCAAACGGCGGAAACGGAAATACCCATGCTGTGCCGCTGCACGGACAGCAACCCGCCGTGCAAAAAACAAACCAACGCGAGAGAACATTATTCTTTTTTTATTTTGATGATTTCTCACTTGTAAGAGCAACTGAAGAGAAACAGAAACACAATAATAACTTCTTTTTTTTTCTTCTGTAGGAGGAGGGGGAGAAGGCTGAGGTGGAAACTGACAGAAAAGTCTGCGTTAATTGGAATGTCAGCCACAGCTACAGGCAGCAAGGTCGAAGTTACGAAGGACACCAAGTTTTCGGTCACACAGTAAAAGCCACACACATGTACACGAACAACAATTAATTTTTAAAAAAGGCACACAAATCATACGGGCATGGCGTCATCATTTCGTTGGCGGTGTACCCGCCAAGGACTCCGTCCGCTGGGCACTCTCAGTTTCCGATCGTGTTTTACTGAGCAGTGGCGGTCCGGACGGTTCATCTACCGTAAAAGAATAGCTCATACCAAGGCGTGGGACCGAGACAACCTGCTGACTTTGTTTGTGCAATGCAATTGGGTTGTATGTCCATGACTGTGTGGCGCGGTGGTAGTTCCGCGAGCCCCCCAACGGGAAATCGCTTTGCATGTTTGGCTTGGGTGGTTGTCGAAACAACGGTGCGGGTCCATCCGCATCCGATGGCGACAACACAGTACGCCCGGATGATTTCTCAGGATTCGTGACAAACATGTTACCCGACCGCAGTCGCCTGAATGGGAATGTAGGCGTGCCAAAAGTCTGTAGAAGTCGTTTTGACGTGTCTCTTGCACTTTCGCCCTCGTATTGTGGTGTTGAAATCAATTGTTGATACTCCTGCATCCCGCTCGACGTATCAGTATCATTTCCCCATGAATCCTTACACGTTGCGATGATGTTAAAAATGACGTCTGTATTGATATTGATTGGTGGCTCGCTCTCTGTCAGCCCTTTCCAGTACCCCACGAGTGCCTTTTGCAGCGATAGGGGGCAAGGATGTGGCGTGGCTACCATTTCAATATCATAGGATCCCAGCTTGAGCGGGATAATGATGCTGCATCCCCGGTTACCTGGTCTGTTATACAGCGATAGGCGGGACCCTTGAAGCAAGTATGCAGCCAGCAACGCAAACGCACGCGCACTACTATCTATATGGTGTACCGCCTCTAGTTTCCCCAATACTACTTGGTGCAGAGAATGCACCAGCAGTGTGGAAGTGATGCCATCGTCTTCCCCTTTCTCGACCAGCCACGAGGGATGAACCAATTGCTCCAATTTCATTGCGCCTCCTGTGCTCGAGGACAGGGATGGGGAAGATAAGGATGAGGATGAGGATGGAAGTGGTGTCACGTACGTTTCCATTGCGCAGTGGCGCCGCAGAAACTCCAGAAACGCCAAAACACCACCAAAGTAAGAATTGTATTGCTCTCGAAGCAAACTTGTCTGTGGTGGACGATCCAAAGCCTTCGCACGCTGCAGGATGCGCCGGAATTTCTGTAGAAGGTGACCATTCCCAGTGCCGTTGTTAGAGGTACTGTTTTTACTGTTATTAACCGATGAAGCATCTCCTGCGATGATAATAACAGCAAAAGTCAATAAAGATTTTTGTTGTGATTCATATTTTACTGTTTCACTGTATGTACGACTTCGTAGCCTCGACGAAAATGGAGCTGTCTGCGTGATGTTACTATTTATAAAAGGAGCACTAAAGCTATCGGCCTCACCACCGCTGTTCAGCAGCCTTGATCCTTGTGAATCTACGTTTGGGGCGGAGCTAGTTTCTTCGGTGTGTCGAATGTATCCAACTGGAATATCCGGCGATAGGTTCATCGACATTCCGCGGCGGTGTCTAGGATCCTCCAATGTCGTGAGGCAGGGAATTGGGGGAACCGAATAATTTGCAACGCTGCGGGATGGACTTGGAGAAAAAAATGTCCCAGGTAGCGTTGTCTCCTGTCTCGTACTCTGTTGTTGTATCGTATCTGTGACTTGTACCACCCGTGATACTCGCATGGAGCGGGACAGATCAAGGGCCTTCCACAGAGTACCCGCTGCCAGCTGACGACTCCAAGTTTTACGCAAGTGTGCAAAGGAGACACGCAACATTAACGGGTGCACCAGAAAAGCTGCCATCAAGAAGAGTATCATCAGCGTCTCCAGTGAAAGAACAGTTAATGAGAGAAGCACCGCAGTCAAACAGGGCAGAATTGTTCGCTTGGCCCGCCGCACACGATGAAAGATGAAGGCAAGTTCAAGGTATGAATCAGACTGAAGACCCTGCAAGAAGAATAGTCGGGCGCGCACCATGCTGTTGATGATGTAATTGTGGGAGCCGTACAGCACCGCCTGGAGATTGTCCCGTCGCCTCGCAAAAGAAACCACGGTATCTGTGGATCGGCTCACATGGGATGGCAGACGGTAAAACAATATCGTCATTCGCAGCGCTGTCACTACCTCCACAACAAGACCAAGCATTAGCCCCATCTCTGCAATATCTGCAATAAGATTGATACAAACTATACAAAGCAGCAGTAGGGTTTTCATGGGGTAACGCCACGAGAGAGCCTCATTTATGCGGAGCACCGTGTCGATCAGCACCATGTAGGGTATAAGTACATAGCGTACCGCCGATGAATCCATCTGCTGTCGCAGTTCAACAAGTTTTTCCACAGCCTTTTCGGTTCCGGCGCCGTTGTACTCTTCTACATTCCAGTCATTATTCCCGTCATTGTTGTTGCTCGACGACATCAATCTTGACACAGCACTCATGTCTCGCCTACCACCGCAAAGGAGAGATGGAAACGTTTTCTGGTTAAAAACAACACCAAAAATCTGGAAAGTCAACACTGCACTTCCACCAACATCCTTTCCAAACATACTGTTTGTCGCTACAGTATTGAGGTTCAGCGCTTCCACAGCTGCAACCATGCTCTGCTTAGGCTGCAACGTCACGCAGACACCGCTATTGGTTATGAGTAATTCTCGCAGACTGACCTTCGCGATCCCAATGCAAAGACCAGTGTCCTGCAGATCAAAGTATGAAGGATAGGAAGCCTTTACAAGTCTGATTTCCTCCGTGGTAAGTGTGGGTGCGAGCTGCACAAGACGTATCTTTACATTCCGCTCGGCAATGAACAAGGGTAACGACGCGACAATGACATCCCCAATACGACTGCGATACCGCTTTGTGCGTATCTCACTTGCGTCCCAGTTTGTCCTAATCTGTTTTTCATGCTGATGACGCTCTACATCGCCTATAATCTCCGAGCTCTCTATGCAGACGGTATTCTCAAAGACAAACTGTATTTTTACATGCGGTCGAAAACTTTTCTCACTGCTTTTAACTCCTCCTGGGAGTTTCACGAGTGCTTGCTGTGGGCTTGCCTCTTGTCCAGAACGGTGCTTTAGATGGTGCATGCGGATGAAACTCTCGGCGTCGAAGGCGCACATGCCTTCAATAGAGGAAATGCGAAACTCCACATGCATGCCGTGAATGAATTCAACTGAAGAAAAATATCTTCAATAAGTTGTTTCACTATTTTCTGAATTGATGGCCTAATTACAATTCTGGCACACTACAGATGAAGAGAGAAGCAAAATAAAAATAAAGACGTGAAGAAGCCGTCTCCTTTCATTTCCCACACCCTCTTATTTCCCCAGCGTCGTCCCTGTTACAAGTGTAAAAAACTGCTTCGCATCAACACAGAGTGGAACAGCATGGAAGAACCATCAAAACGCCAAAAAAGCAACTTTTCACACAACCGTTCCTCACTTACCGACACACAAAGAAGCATAAGAACGGCGACTACGCCGCCTCAAGGAGAAACGCAGCCATTAGCGTGTGTTTTTTTTTCTGCTCACGCGCCGCACCCCGTTACATGATCTCGTCAGAGTCTTCGCTGGAGGACCACGAGGAGGTTGAAAGGGCCTCAATAAGACGCTGCACCGCGTCCTCGGTCACTTCACAAACTTCATGCCTCTCCACACTCGGGGACACCACCGGCACTTTTTCTTCGCTGGAGGGAATAAGGGCGATGGCTGATGGTGCAGCCACCAGCGCAGAGTTTTGCAGAGCGCAGGGCGTCTCATGATAAAGCGATGGGGAAAGCAACCTCTGCCGCCCCGTCACGGTGGCTTGTCGCTCGACCCTCGTCATCTGTTGTGGCTGCTGCAATCGTCGTTCGTGTTGTCCTTCGTCTCGCCGCTTCTCTGAGCATAACAACGGGGACGTGGAGCAAAACGTCTCCGGCCTGCCACCAACGCGTGCGCGGATTGAATTTGTCTGCATCACAGCACCGCATCTACCAATAGAAAAGAAGACAATAGGCAAGAATAATAAATAAATAAAAAACGAGAGAACAAGCATAAAAAGAAATAAATGCAAGAGGCCTCAAGGAGACGTATTTCCTTCTTTTTTTATTCCCGCTGTTGAAGACGATTTTTTTTTTTTAACTGCAACATGTCACACTTTTCTTGTCGCATACCATTTCTGAATCTGCTATATAGCGTGTGGCTGTGCCTAATAGGCTCACTATTTTAAAAAGCAGTAGCCTTATTACTATTGTTTCTTCTTGGTCTCAGCGCATCGTTGCAGTGGCCCCTCGCCATCGTTCCCTGGCTCATCTGCGTTTTTGTCTTCCTTCAGGCTCACCTCCTTATCCTCACCCTTTGTTTCATCCCCTTCCTCTTCTTCTTCCTCTTCCTCGTCATCTTCATCGTGAATCCCTTCTTTTCGCTTTACGTCAACAGGATAAATCCAGCGCTGATACAGCAAGATGAGAAAGACGACATCGTCACGGAAGCAAGCAAGTCGGTGTAACCAAGGCATCTTTATAATAAAAGCAAAGAGATCATCTATAACAGTGTTAAGGGCACGGTAGACAAATGTGCGCCATGGAAGCTGTGTGACCGTCTTCATCTTGTAGTTGATAAAAATCTGCGGCGTCAACATAGCGAATCCAAACATGTAGATAAACCGCACCTGCGTGCTAATTATAAAAGAATACCACCCTTTGTGAGTGTCAAAGATGGCTGAGTACGCGGTATAGCACAAGAGAATAGGTGTCATGACGTACATGAGATACCGAACAGCGACGTCATCGTGCTTACGTGTACGCTTGTCATACCCCTTATTGAACTTCACTTGCAACCACCCATTCTCGTTCCGTACAACTTGAGCTGTCTGCGCCAGCTTCCAGTACTCTAAGATTACACCAAAGGCATTTGGCAGCAGGATAGTCCACGACGTTTCATCACCGTCCCAAAGGTAGAGAAAAACCACAGTTTGGAAGTAACAGTTCATGACAATCGTCCGAAGTGAGAGGCCTTTAAAGTCTTTTCGATGGCGCCAGAACTTCACGTCGTTAGAGAAAGCCAAATACTCGAACAGCATATGCAAAACTGTTACAACGCATGTCAAACCCAAGAAATAAGGATTAGTTTCTAGGAATATCCGCTTGGTTTCATCAGAATCTCCTTCTTTTGTTAATCCCATCTCCATTTGCTGATTCATCGATTGCTCAAAGTTAACATACAGTGCGAACTTCCACAATGGACAAGGAGACACCGTAATTGTAAAGTTCAATGGTTTTGCAACTGTTGTTGCATTTAACTCAATCAAATGGTCTCGTAAGACCCAAAAATTGTTAATGTAGAGTAACGGAAGGTACTTCTTCGTTTGGTTGTCCAAAAAGTAGAAGGGCCTCATCGGCGGAGGAAGCGGAGTAGAGAAATCTATAATGGGGCTCAGCGTCAAGGTCGGTTGAAAGTACGCTTTCCACACGGAAATAGACTGTGTGTCAGTACTATTGGTCAAAGTTTCACCTGCGTTTCCCTTAGTAAGAAGATGTCTTTGCCGTCTTGCACGCCGGGAAGGTAAAAAACGCACCAAAGGAAACTCTTGAACATACTCCTTTTCCTTAATCCGCATTTTAATACTAAGAACAACACTTCGATTTTCATCAACAATTCTACGCAAATCAACATGGTAACGTCGTGATATCTCTCGGACATCGTCCCCAAGAATCAGGTCTGAAAAGGTATCCTCTGGAAAAGTGTCATCATCACCAGAACTAATGACGATGGTGTATGAGTCATCTTTCTGAGCAAACGGGGCATATTCCACATTTTCCTTCGTCATAGCTGCACGACCTGATGTAGGCGACGATTTTCTGCCCGCACTAGTGTCCACATTCTTGCTTCCGAATACAAACATAATAGTGGCAGACAGTAAGCCATACATTAGCGCTGTCTTCCATATTGGACGTTCTCGGACATTCGGGGTACCTCTTTCCTGCGCCGACTCACCGGACATTATGGCACGCACGTAACTTATTCCTTCAGCAAACACTATGGGTCACAAAGAGTTATGGGGAAACCCCAAAACCAAAACAAAAAAAGAAAAGTCAGTATAACCAAGGTAAATCCACTTCACTACATCTCCCTCGGTGTGCAGAAGCAATCCCCGCTTTTCTTTTTCTCTTTACTCACCATCACCATCATGAGGCTGGAAGAAAACCAGATGGACTCAAAAACCTCAAAGCTTCGCACGTTAATGAGGATGTTGAGTGTGCCTCAGTCCATCCCAGATATCCACACAACAGAAAACACGACCAAGCAAGGTAATCAGACCAGCTCCCTTTTGTCTTATAGTATGCTCATTGGGGAGAAATGGCCATCGTGGCTCCCGCAATGGCTGCTGAAAAGAGGAAACATCAACCAAGTGTTTCATCTGGTCTTTCGGCGATGGAGAAACAATTAATAAAACCCAACAAAGAACAAACATGACCATAACCATAATCACCATCCATACATTGTTGTCTGTTCTGAGTTTCGTAAAGACAAGTTTTGACTGCCAGAGCTCTGAAGGGGTGTAAGAACCATCTTTTCCACTCACAAGGGCAAATCGCCGAGCAATCGCATCGGGATTTTTATTCTCTGATAATTCTGATGGGGTGCACCCCACTGGACCTCGTTGCAGTCCCAAAAGACGACTAGAAGCCTCATCTTTTACACGAAACAAGACATCAATTCTGCCCGGCACACCAGAAGAGTTCTGGACAGTACCCACAAAATTAACCTCCTGTAGGTTTGCAGTAGGGGCCAAATCAAAGCTAACAGCCCCCCTCTGTTGACGCATGTAGGTCGTGGCCGCTGTATCCATTCGCTTCTTGTATTTTGTACTCACAACATCCAGCCAATTAATCAATTCACTATCCAGGTTTTTCAAAAGAGCAAGCTCATCGGGGGATAACGGCTGATGAGGAAACTCTTCAATCTTATTCTCCAAGGTTTTTTCTACCGTCCTTTTTTTTTCTTTTTGGGGTTTGAAGGATTTCTTTTCGTGTCTTTGATTCAGTTTCCCAACGACAGGGGGGTCCCACGGGAGGAAGGCCAACTCACAGAGAAACACCACATGAACAAAGATAACGGCTAGCCGATAAACCGATGGCACCTTACATGTAAATGCAAATAGGTCATCTAAAACTATCCCCAATTCCGTGAAAACAAAACTCTGTAGAGAAACACTTCTCGATGGTAACCTTAAGTACTTCAGAGGTATGGAGCATTTTTTCATGTTAATATTGTCCAAAATGTTGGGGGTCATTCTATATAAATGCGCCAGAATGTATAAAAGCCCAAACGTCATTTGAAACAGAAACTCCAATGTATCTCTCTCAGCAAATTTGCCACTATCAAAGTACCACAGAATCACATGCATTAAAAGGGGGATGCCTGCAAAAAGTACGGCTTCTCGGCGAAGGTCAATGTAAGAGTGTTTCACCATACTCGCTATTTCAAGCTCCTGTGCAGAGGATTTGGCGGCAGAGACACAGTAGTAAAACACCTGCAGGAGCACCACGATGCTAAAGCCAGAAATATATAAAACTTCATAAAGCGTAAACAAGCCCATTGTAAGAACACGACATGCAGTTTGAAGAGGCCAAGAAACATCTACTCCATCACGATCTCGTCCAATCATCAAGGACCCACGAGTCAAGTAATAAATCTCCTGTGCAGCATTAAATGCCATGTTGTACAGGCGGAAGAAAACCAATGATCGAAGCTGAACAAGTTCCTCCCTGTACTTGTCAGCCAATACAAAACGTTGACTTCCCCGAGCAAGTAAGACATCATGTGCATGTTGTATCTTCACCATTTGGGCACGACAAGACTCACAGTTTGGATTCCGATCAGGATGCCACCTCTTTACAGCCTCACGATATGCGCGTTTTATTTCTTGCATTTCAGCACCAGGAGGCACACCGAGTACCTTAAGGTGGGTCTCCGCCTCCAAATCAATGAGGACTTCCCAGAGAGGCCAAAACCACCACAAAAATACAATCACCAAGGCTAGTACACCCACTATGCGCACCGCCAGGCGCCTCCTCGATCCGTACCTAGACCTCCTTTCAACGAACTCTCGCAAGCAGCAGTCAAGCCATTTTGACTCTGCTTCAAAGCGAGTCATATGTAACTCTCTAGTTTCATCACCATCAACTGGCTCAGGAAATGCAACAACTTCCACTTCAGACTCTCCTTTCTTCTTGACAAGAAAAGCCCGATTTACCGCATGCATTCTATCTACAAAAAAAGCAAAACTATTATTGTTTTCTAGAGCATTTCGCGCGGTAGTACCCTTAAGCCCATCCACTTCATCCTCCCTACGACTCTCTGCAGTGGTCTCACTGTGAGAATAATTACGATTATTGTTGCGCCGCATAAGCCTAGGTGCAAAGAACAAAAAAAAAATCTAAGAAAAAAACTAACCGTCACGATTTATAAACGTGGAGAAAAAAAATGCAAGAGTTCCACCAGTTTAAGCAGAATACAACGACACAGGAAAAAGACCATCTATTAACCGGGCTTCACAGCAGGGAAACCAAAACAAAAACAAAAAGAAAACTACTCAAACCTTGGTCTTTGGGCGCTCTGAAAGCCTGGCTGCGGGCGAGGAACGGGGGGGAGATTAGTAATAGCGCTCAAACACTCAGAAACTTCAAATATATCGCCACGCATTTCAGGATTTCTAACCAACATTTTTTCCATGACAAGCTGCATTACTGGACGAAATTCTTCAGAAACAGTAATCCCGCCACCTTGGCGAAACCTGTGTGGAGTGCCATCTATAATTTCCATGGCGTTTGATTCAAAAGGCATTTCAAAAAACACCAACACGTAGATCAAAACCCCAAGACTCCAGATGTCACACTTTGTATCTACCCGCTGTTTTGACCACAAATCAAGAGATTCGGGTGAACGATAAAGCAATGTCATCCTCTCCCCCAGTTCTGCTTCCGCCATTGCAACCTGATGAGCATCCTTTGGCTGATAATATAGTCTGGTTGCACTACCAAAGTCACACAACTTGATGTTTTGAGAGTCTGCAAACAACAAGTTTTCTGCTTTGATATCCCAATGAGAGACAGGTGGCGACTGGCTATGCAAATGACCAATAATATGAACGACAGTGTTACATATCTCGTATACTTCACGAACAGAAAGAGACTGCTTAACCATCATGCGCATGTTGATATAATCCTGAAGAGAAGGGTCTTCGCAGAGCTCCATGACAATCCAAAGCTCTGGAAGAAGATGATCGGGACACTCAACGACGTCGAAATCATAAAATGTGACAATGGAATGATGAGGGCATAAGGAACGATGCAAAGAGGCTTCCTCCAAAACACACTGTTGGTGAAGATGGTCGGCCAATACAAATCGCTTAAGAGCGACTGAGTTTCCTGACCGTATATCGCGGCCTTCGTAGACAAAGGAACTCCCACCCTCCCCCAAAACACGGTCAATTGTGTATTCAATACCCTTTATAACGACCCTGTAGGGATGCCTTGCGGTGGAGTTAAAACCCACTCCAAACAGAATTAACTGTTTGACAATATCCAAACACGATGACAGAGAATTCCCCATGATACTAATCAAACAAAGTACATCTTTATGAGCAGATAGTCGGCCAGCGAGAGAAAAAAAAAAGAAAAAAGCAGAATAGGGAGCACCCCACAAAATACATCAAACAGCAGTGGCAGGAAGATGCACTCGCGGGTAGCCTAATTCCAGTAAAAAAAAAACCTCAATGGACATGGAAAGAAAACAAAAAAAAAAAAGAATTGATACTACAAGAAACGGATAGTAATGCCATGAATTAACCGAACAAAAAAACGATACGCAAAAGCCATGGCTTCTCCTCTCCTACACCTCCTTGGACACAAATGAATTAAAATTAAAAAACCGAATAGTTCACCTCCAAATACGTTTCCACTCACCGCGACTCAGGAGGGAACTACAAAGAACCCAATCTTATTTGGTATCATCACCAGCAGCAACCTGAGATATAAGTGGGTAAAAGCCTCTGGGTCAAAAAAAAACCTTCTTGTTTTACTAACACGCGGTGTAGTGAACCAATACGAGGTAGTAACGTCAATGAAGCCCATTAAAGGGAAGAAAATGAACACCTTACGATTCCCAGCTAGAAGAAACACACAATACCCATACAAACACACAAAGAAAAACGCTACGACGAAATTTTAAAAAATGAAGGAACAATACTATGGGCATTCAAAAAAAAAAAGGTATCAAAATCGCCAACACGATAAAACTAGCAAAGAACCCCCAACTCAAAAAAAAACGGACTTGGCCAACAAGTAGATAAATCGGCCAGTCGGATAACCTCAGATGTGACGTAACATCAGCTACAAGTAACCACTCCCCTTCTACAGAGGGCTCTCCCCAGCCGCCCCCCAAAGAACACATAAAGTGGTTCACCAATCCCTTTTCCAATAACAAAACCAAATACAAATAATGCAAAATCAATAAGCAACAGCCCCCCAGGCACCCAACACAAACCCAGCATACGAAAACCAAATCGAAACTTCCGCCGGGGCCCTCGCCAGCCCCGCGGTCTAACAAAACAGGTCGGAAACGTCGGGCGTCTATTTTCTTTTTTGCGCCCCCCAACGGGGGAGGGAGGGACGGGGTTGACACGCGCGCAGTGCCTTTCAACAAGTTTTCTGGTTCCCCTTCCCCCCCAAGCGCCGAAACCGAAGGAAATTCCGCCGCAAAGGGGGGGTGACGGCGTTCGGCGGCGCCTGTCGCACCGTTTGCGGCCCGGTCGGCGCGTGCGCCCGGACGGCCGTTGCCATTCCAGGGCCCGGGGGCGGGCTTGGCGAAATCTGCGGGGGCCGCTCCAACAGAAACGAGGAGGCCGTTGCAAACAACACCTGGCGCATGTGGAGCGGAGCCGTGCCGAATAATTTGAAAACTGTTTTCCGAACGCGCCGGATGCAACCGCCAAGCGGGCCTCCGAATAGGACAGCTTTGCCACCGCTGGTGGCATTAGCGCCATGTGGTTGCGGGGCTCCATGTTTCAGGTGCTGCCGCACATTCCCTTTGCAGAACAGGATCCGAAGCTAATGGAGATGCTGTGTGAACTGGCGCGGCACCCTCCGCAGTCCGTCTTAACCGCTCCCTACGCCAATGGGTTCAACGAGTTTGCCAACGGCAATCATTTCGTGCCTGACAACAGGATCCCACAAATGCCACCCACCGTTTGGGAAGGCAAATACGAGTTGGACTCCCTCTGTGCCGTCATCAAGCTGAACTACGAGGTTGTCGCGGCGGAATCAGGCAACGTCTCGTTCCTCAAGCCCGTCGTTAAGCTCTGGATAGAATCCATGGAGCTTATTCTCAACACAATGAGCGACCAGCAGAAGCCCACCGAAATGCAGAACAGCATATACCCGTACATGTTCTACCGCAAGTACTGGTTTGGCTTGATTGAGTACTATCCTCGCGAGAATGCGACTGGATACACTGGGATGATTCGCTCCGCCTTCCGCCCGTCGGACGACATGACGTCGATGGACTTTCTCGTGCCTTCGAACATCATGGCGTCGGTGTCCCTCCAGCAGCTCGTGGAGCTCTGTGATGTAATGGCGGATGCCTTCCAAGATTACCGAGGTCGCATTGCCGACATTTCCCGCAAGGCGAGGGCCATACAGCGTCAGGTAACGAAAGGACTGAAAGAAGCAAATATGGAAGATGGCATGCTCGCGTTCGAGGTGGATGGCCTTGGAAATGCTAATATGATGGACGACGCAAATTATCCAAGCCTGCTCTCGGCACCGTTCTTGGGGTACCAGCCCTTGCTGGACAACTACCAGCAGACGCGAAAGTTCATACTGAGCGAGCAGAACCCATGGTATTTCTCCGGGAGTGCGGGACGAGGCAACGGCTCTCCCCACACCGGCAAGGACATGATTTGGCCCCTGTCACTGATCATGCAGGGGCTGACTTCAGATGACGACGACGAAATCATGGAGGTGCTGGAGACCCTGAAGAGGTCCGCCAACGGCACGGGATTCATGCACGAGTCGTTCAACAAGGACGACATCTCCCAGTTCACACGGTCTTGGTTCGCCTGGGCCAACTCATTCTTCGGCCAACTCATCATTGATGTTGGGAAACGCAAACCTCACTTGATATTTTAAAAGTTCAGATGAAGTGATACATTTCTTTTTTTTAGTTTTTTTTTTGATTTTATTTTTGAGCTAAAAGTTTCAGTACAAAAACGACTTTTCTTGGTAAAACTTTATTTTTTTTCGGGACGGAGGAAACTGATAGATTTTTTTTTTTTTCGTTGCGGACGTACCCAAAACGGCGTTACTTCAGAGTAACACGAGCTTTAAGAGGGGGAACAAAAAACGACTGTGGCGGCGGCAAGAAGCTGTTTGCATGTGAGGTTATTTTCTGCTGTGCTGTTTCTGTTTGTGAGTTCTGAGTGCTACCTGTTGCTTCTTCTAGAAGTTAGCTTCAAGGTTGAGGGCATGCATCCTTGGGATGCCTGATAAGGCTCTTCAGGTCCAACAGAGCGTCTGAGGGGGCGCACACAGAGTGAATGCCGCAGAGAGCCTCGCAGATCCTTCCGGGCGGTTCCTTTGCTGGAGGGGTGATCTGGCGTGTGCAACGTATTTCCTTGCTTGGTAGGAAGCCCGTTTACCAGACAAAGAGGACCGACTACACTCCATGTGTGGCCTCTTGCTGCATGACCGGGGGTGTGTGAGGTGTGAGCGTTTATCTTTCTTTTTATCATGCCCGTCCACTCTTCGACTTTTTTTCGACAATGTGAACGAAAATACACTGTGAGGGTGCACTTGTCTTCCCTGCGGGGCGCTTTCCTTACTGACAGGGGTGGAAGCAAAGAGCTTTAACGGCCCTGCTAAGAGTGCAGCCGTGGGCAATGCCTTTCTTTGAGACAACGAAGCGAATGATAGTTTGACTGTTGGGGCTNGGAGGCCTCACAATAGCTGCAAGCACACTGGGCTCTCCAAGCTCCGGAGAGAAGGATTCTCCATTCAGCTTCGCCTCGCGCGCATAGGCGTGGTGAGGTGCATCCCTATTGCGGTTTGAACTGCAAGCTCTTCTCACTTTTCTTCCCGCCTTGCATGGCATTTCGTGTTTCTTTTCACAAGAAGAGAAAGGATGACAGACAGGATGTTTGTGCTGGGATACAGTGCTGGTGGTCGTGTCCTCGGCGTGCGCAGTTTGTTTTCTTCGATGCCACATGGGGGAGTTGACTGAAACCAAATGGCAGCAACGCTCTGAGCGGTGTACGGAATGAGTTGCTATCCTCGTGGTGACTCCTGCTTTCAGCCCCAAAGCTTTTGCAGACGTGCGAGGGTGACTTGGCCCACTGCTGCTTCAGTTGCTGTCGTTGTTGTTTTTGTTGGTTATGCTCTCCGCGCGTTGGTCTTCAGCATCAAAGTATTGAAATGGGCAACACTGGATGTGGGTGAAATCCGTCCGACGTCTACTTGTGTGTACTGCGAGTGGGTGTGTGGTCTGTTGGCTCTGCAGATCCCGTGGGCAGCACTCTTTCTCTTTTGTTGTGCGTCTGTGGCCTGCCTTGGTGGATTCTGTGTTGTGACAGATATGGCTGTGAAGGGAGTGGCCGCCGCTGCATTGCGTATTGGCAATGCGTCTCTCCCAAATTTGTGTGCGAAGAAGCGAATTCGAAGTGTGGATGAGGAGGGGGTTAGGGTTAGGGTTAGGGTTAGGGTTAGGGTTAGGGTTAGGGTTAGGGTTAGGGTTAGGGTTAGGGTTAGGGTTAGGGTTAGGGNTGTGCGTCTGTGGCCTGCCTTGGTGGATTCTGTGTTGTGACAGATATGGCTGTGAAGGGAGTGGCCGCCGCTGCATTGCGTATTGACAATGCGTCTCTCCCAAATTGGTGTGTGTGTGTGTGCGTGAAGAAGCGAATTCGAAGTGTGGATGTGGAGAGGGTTAGGGCAACTGCTCTGCTCCCTTCTGAAGGACTCTTCCATGCGCAGTGAAGATGGGAGACAACAATCTCACACTGTAGGCACTTTGGGAAAGTGTTTTTGGGGGATGAGAAACATGAACCAAGCTGCATGTGCAGATTAACCGCCAGGATTGCTCCTCCTGCTGTGCTGCCTACTCTACAATTTGCAGAATGAAGCTGAGCTGACAGCAGTATTGGAGATGAGGTGAACGTGGCATGCAACCTATGTTTGCTCGACTTCCGTATTTGGGCTGTTTCTACTGTCGAAGTAAGTTGTTGGCTGGAGAGGTGGATTGATGTCAACCTCAAAAAAACACTGGATGCACATTTCTCGCTGCGTGTCCGACATGAAGACTGTTGGGCATCATTGGCTGATGGTGCACCACTGATGTGATGCAAGCAGCACCGACGAGGGAGGGAAAAGGGTTGCTGGGGATGATGGGTGACTCTTTGTTGTGCCGATGCTCCTTGAGGCTGTGTGGAATGACGCAATAAAAAGAGATTATGAGTCGGCATGTGATGCACTTGCTTGGCAGGGCCAATGCTTTGTTGTGAGTTGTCCTCGGTGTCTCCTGGTGTGCGGAGTCGAAGGGATCCAACACTCAGTTTATGGTTGCTTGGAGGTTCTGCTTTATGCAAACGGAAGAATGTAACATTCGGAATCATCTTGATGTTGGCGGAAACACATGACGCTGTGTGAGGTGTGATGCCTTTGGATGATCATCAAGATATGTAAGTGAGTGCGTGCTTTTAGCTTTTGAATTCGTCCGGAGGGAAACAAGTCTAGTTGAGTGGGAAAGTGTGTCGGGCTATATTGTTGCCGCGACGTGTCCTTTACCTGCACATGGCCGTTGTGAAGGAAACGATCAAAGAGTCCATCTTGCAGAAGTTGACACTGAATCAAGTTGTTGGTGGGTGCTCTTTTTGTTTTTGTTCCTGCATACGCTTGTGGTGCTCACCATGTGTTTGAGGAGCAGAGTGAAGGTGGGATTTCCTCTCGTGTTTGTGGGTCATTTATGGAGACTGGCGGTCACAATAATTTGGTGTGGCTTCAAGGGGAGTGAGAAAGGTGTGTGTGCATGCCTTGTTGAGGGCTTGGCTTCTTCCCAAGCAACACAAAACGAATCATTCTTCAGGCGACAGTGTGGTGGCGTGGCCTCCGCAGTCCTTGCCTCAGCATGCGCTTCTGACGAGTGACGCAGGCGACGCTGACACGCTGGCCACCTGATGTGTCTCTTGGAGAGGTGCCACAGACATTGAGGGGATTGTTGGTGTGAGGTGTGCTGAGGCGCAGGGGAGAGTGCGAAGCCCTAATGAAGTTTGCAGCAAAAGTACTGGGAAAACAGAGTGATCTTCTTGGAGAAGCATAGATATATGCTGAGCGAAGAAGCATGAGGAAGCGTCTACTGTACAAGTTCTTTTGTTACTGATTGTCTGTGCTCTGCGTGCTATTTTCTGCCTTTTGCATCTTTTTTTTTTCTGAAGCAAGACAAGCAGCTCCTAGTAGGACTATTAATGCGATCGAAGAACATGAAGCACATGACAGGGAAATCGCAGTTGACACATCTACGGTGTTGCAAGATACCAAAGAGCATTGACAGTTGCATTCTCGGCGATATGGGCCTCTGTGAACCTGTTTCAATCCTGCGCCGAGGCAGAAGGAAGGCGAGACTACAGGCATCTATGGGACTGCAGTTGAGAGACATCCAGGTGTTGTTTCTGGTACTGATGGTTGTGGCTGAACCGTTTCTTCGCTGTGCCGCTGCGGCTGGTGGCATGGCCACCCGAACGAGAATGGCCACGCCTGCAGCCGACGACGATCCCTTGGTGACACTCACGAACTGCTTTCCCAGCGTAATACTCAGTGCTTCGAACATCCCATACACCTGCGAAGTTAACAATGACCAAACACTGAGTGGCTTGAACCTCTCCGCATCGTACTACACCTCAGTTCTCATTCCTGGATGGCCGGCGACTCTTGATGCGGGAACCAATACCATTACATTCGTGCCTATTTGGGGGGCACCTTCAGGACGTTGGGAATTGGTCATTACAACGTTTTCTGACGTTGAAGTAACAAACGTTCCTCTGACGACCAATAAGAGCATGAACTTCATGGACATCCGTGCGACCCGTGCGGATTTTGCTACACTCCATCCGTATTACGGTATGGGAGTCTCGTGGGAACCCAATCTCCCGAGCGGCACC